TGTTCTGCATACCCCTGCATACTCATGTGCAAATGGCCAGGAGGAGTAGCTGGAAACAAAACCTCATGGGCAGGAGCTAACTAGAACAAAAAAACTGGCAACCTTATTCTTAGGGTCTGCCCCCAAGGCAGAGAAACTTAAGTGCAGACATAATGTAACTGAGTATTTCTATTCGTAATGGTTAATGAAGACATAGCCGGAGAATACTGAAAAACAGAAATGTCTGGTATGTGTCTACCTTTCACAGATTTTCAATAACACTTAACAGCTTAATACCTCTTATGCTTTTGAAACCATTCTTAATAAAATACTGTTAGACTTTTCACAAGTCTGTCACTTCCTGGGCCACCTCGACCTAGATCAATACATTCCTGTTAAGTGTTATTATGCACTGTTCACAGGTCCTTCATCAGTATCTTGTTGAAATGACAGTTTTCAATATGATAGGCTTTTCTGAATTAATTTTCAAGTATGGTTTTAAGAAATAATGTGTCAAATGTTATTATAAAAATCCCTGAGCTAGAGCACCTTTTTCATTTTCTTTATTCACTGCTTGTTTTTTTTCAGTCCAAGAATTCTAGCTCCAAGAAATCATGCTTTGCATGATTTAACAAAAATCTTTGTGGCTATTCTTAAAAATGGAAATGCTCTAAAATGGATATACATGCGCAACAACTTCAGCTTCTAACACTTGTGTCATGAGCACAAGTGCAAAATGGGTGTGTAAGAATTTTAGCATTTTAAATTTTTTGTGTTGGTATAACATACCAGTTTCCAGCCTTCATAAATGCCCACAAAAAAAAATGTTTTAAACTATATACCAAGTTTTGCATTAGTCTTTCCAGCTTTCTTCCATATTTGCATTATCAAATCTATTTTTCTTCCACATGCACAATGTATCCTGTAGTCCTTTTCAGTTCAACCATATGGCACTCAGCATCTGTTGAATCCCTTCTTACAGTGTATTGTGCTACTTAGTGCAAGAAATGGCACAAGTAAGCTCTAGGTTTGTTTCCTCAGTCTTTCTTTTCAGTCACTTATTAAATGAAAATTGATTTTTTCCCATATTCATGCAAGAAATCAGTACCTTCAGACAATATCAATCTATCATTAAGCATATATGGTAGGAGCAGAGAGCACGGTCTCAAATTATCTGATCTAGCAGATGAGGAATGAGATTTAGTTGCTTAACAGACAAAAAGTGAACCAGCACCTTCTTCTGCCTGACTTCCAGCTGTCACCCCACAAGGGCACTGGGGTCTGTAGGTTCTATGTTACAGATGCTCACTCTGTGCAAGATGCCATCAATACCCTAAAGTACCTGAATGCACTAAAATGATAAGTTGAGGAAAATTAATCACATTTATAATGTCTGTTTTGCTAAGAATTGTCAAAACACAAAAAGCCCAAATATTACCATTACTAATAGGAATTTGGTTTATCTGATGCTTTTAGTCCATCTCAGTACTAATTCTTAATACACTTATTTCTTAGACAAGTTACCATGCTATTTCAGTATTTGGAAAGGTTTATTTGAATGCAAATGACCAGAGTGTTAAACAATAACAAAAAAAATCTAGTATCAGGATCTTCACATACACTCTTTGATGGGCCTGCAAATTTTCCAGACAGCTACTTGAACTATCAATACTTGACAATTCACTATGTGTGAATTTTCTGTGCCCTAAGCCTTTCATTTTCAAATTTAGGCTATATTTTGGTTTTGGGAAGATGAAAGAGAATCCTAACCCCATATAAAAACATAAATTTACTGATGTCGTGGAAAATTATTCAGTTTAGAAATAATTTAAAAGGAAAGCATTTTCTGTTTATCAGGACCAATGTAACAATTTAGACATTGCTTAAAATGCAGCTTTTAAAGCCTTTGACTACTTGAATATTCTTAAACATTCACAATTTAATATATGTGTTCATACTATGATACATAGTAGTCAATGAACTTGCCAGATGTAGTTTTATTTACATTTCAGACTTCTGGTTTCAAAATATAGGAAAAAAGCAGCCAAAGGTTTTGCTTAGTGCTTTTAGTAAAACCATAATTCATTCCTCAAACCCATGAAATAGATGATTGAAAATTATTATTATTTCCTTGGGTAGAAACAGCTTTTGTTTACTTACTGAAACTGACAGTTCAGACCTCAAACAGATCAAAATGTAGATAATTTTACAGTGCAGTAGCTGTTTTCAAATATAGATTAATCTATATAACAAAGAAAAACCAAAGTTTGTAAGCATTAATCAGAAACTAGATTAACCTCACTGAATCTATAGCTGGCCTTTCTCTAAGTTAGCATAGTAAAATTGAACTGAATGCTAGAAGACCCAAAATGAATATGAGTTAACTAATAGGAAACCTGAAAGAAAATATATGTCTAGAATTCTTATATATCTAAAAATTCTGGTTTTTTATTTGCACAGTAATTGCAATATCTTTGAAATAGCCCATGCAGAAGCGAGCATTCATATTTTCTTTCTTAACTTTAAAAAGACAAAAAAAAAAAAACCCCTATATTATAATTCATTATAATCTGAAAATACATATTTTAAAAGTGAAGAACAAAACTTGAGTTTACTTAATTTCTTCCAAGTATTTATTTGAGATGTTAAAAAGTATGATTTCATGTTGCATGCCATTTTACTACAAGATATTTTTGGTGTAAATTTTGGTCTCTTTTCAAGCAGTGTGGATCAGTGAATATCAATAGAACCAGTATTCAGCATTCATGACAGAGGAAGGTGGCTAATCTCTTTAAGGTGGTTCTTTAAGTATCTGACAGCTCCTTTCAATCTAAAGTCTACAAAAACCACAAAATCTTTGCTAGCATTTTGGCTTAGGACTTGAAGATTACTTATTTAACGTGAAGAAGCGTATTTTGATAAGGATAACGGAAAATAGGATGTGCAGGTTTCAACACATTGGTATGACAAAGAAGCGCACAGCTTTGAAAAGACTGTACTAGCTGAAGCATTACTAACATGCAAGAAAACCTGTGTATTTTGAAGGAATAGTAAAGCCCCTTCATGAGATGCTTCAGCTTCATGAGGATTTTATTTCTATTTAGATTTCTCTGTGCATGTAGTCCTTAAGACACGGGGCCACAAAGGCCCTCCTACCACTCTGCTTGTAAATTGTCTAAAGGGACTATTCTTCTCTAACACAAGAATTAGAAGCATGATATTTAACTTTTCTGAGAATTATGACATCTAACTCCCATACTACCTTTCTTGGAAATTAACATAAGATAATCTATTTCCAACACTGTCAATGATGACAATTTGCAGATTAGGATACCTTTTGTAAACAATTAAAGTAATGGAAACTGCTCAAAGCATTAAAATATCTTGTAAACCATGGAAATAAATAGGTTGAAGCTAGGTCTTGTAGCACACATCTATAGAGTGGCCATTGAAGCCCATGGTTATAACATGTAAAGAACTGGTATTTTCTCTCATCATTTATGTTAGTACTACTGAGAAGAACATCAAATTAATACAAAACTATTAAAAGACTCAGTTAAAGCACTGTACAATGAATAGGACTGATTTTTATAGATATGCTGTTACATTAGAATGAGATGCTAATTAAAAGTAACCTAGTTCTGGCAGTTCATATGTACAGTCACAGATGCAAATATCATGATTTTTTGATCTCAACAAGACCTGCCAAAGTTACTCTGCAGAAAGTGTTCATGTTCTACCCTTTCTCAGTTTGATGTGCATATATGAAAAATAGAACACATCAATGTTCAACATACGAAAGTTATTTCAGGCTAACTTCCAGTTATGTGGTGTGGTCTTGGAAAATCTTAATCAAATATCAATTTCAGAAGCATACTACTGAGACCCAAGTTAGTTTTAAAGGACTTTGTGATGCATAATGCTTGGTGAAGCAATGGTCTCAGAGCTAACAAAACTGGCCGTCAGAAGGAGTTAAGAATGCAAATGATTATTTGTGGAAATAGAGGTTTTCTTAAACCAGATGTCTAGACGACCAACTAGAAATTAGGAGTGAGTATATCTGAAGCATGACCCAAAAGAATTAAGGATCTACTTCACCACAGAAGTGTTTTTGTGAGAGTCCTTTCTTCTGCTGTTAAGATCTCTCACAAGACAGTGGCAGGCATGCCATCATGAAGAGGGATACACAGAAAAAGAAAAGACAGAGAAGACATAGGGACTCAAATTGTGTAAGATCATGGGCTTTGAAGTCCCATAGGTAAAATATGGCCAAAGATCCTGATTGTCCAACAGTTGACTATAAGCAATGAAACATTCAGGATCCTAATTTCCTTCTTGTTTCTAAAAGCTAATACTTGGATTGGAGTGAAGGGATAAACCATCTTGCTGAAAAGTGTCCTCTGTAATCTTGGTCTACACACAGTGTTCCTGTTACAATTCACACTGTGAAGGAGCTTAGCAGATGAATTGCTGACAGATCTATAGAGTGGACACTGAAGCACATGGCTATGATGTGTAAAGAATTGCTATTATTGTATCTGTTTCATAAGTTCACCACTTCTGACAAAGGGGAAGGGTGAAAATTAATTTGGCATGGCATGCATGCAACATTTCAGTTCTCTAATCTGGTGCTGCCTGAAAGCTTGTTTTGGTAGGTATTGTATCCTGGAATGACAGAGAACTAGAACTGGCAGGATGTCAAAATACTGCCAAAACCAGCTTAACCAAATTAAATCAGCTGAGCTGCGGAGAAGTGAAATGTACATTTAGAAAGACTCAGAGCTGGAATGTAGGTGAGGCTAAATACAGGAATACCAGTGTTATGTGAATACCTAACAGCAGGAATATTACCAATAAGGACATTTATACATAACAGTATTTTTATTTCTAAGTTAATCTGAATTGACAAACCTCTTAAAATGTTAAGTCAGGACTCCCAAATTCCCTGACCTATGGAGCTAAGAATTCTTAATCTTACTTCTACTGCTGGGTAAACTGAGGCAGAGAGTTCAGTGACTTACCCAAGGCCACAGAGGGAGTCACTGTCAGAGCCAGGATTAGAGCTCAGGAGATTCTGGCTCCCAGTTCCCAAGCTCAGACCACTAGACCATGGCCTCAGGATATTTCCAGCTGATCTTCAGTCTAAAAAAAAGTAAATTCTCAAGTATGTTACAAATATGTAACACACACACACACATATATATATATATGTATATTTATATGTCTATATATATATATATATATATATGTATATATATTTCTTTTTACCTGAATGTAATTGTATGAGTGAAAACACATTGCTCATAAATCAGTGCTGGAAATCATGCCAGTATATTTGAGTTACCTTAATCATACATATATGCATGATAAAGCTCTGCTGAAAAAAAAAAAAAAATTTAAATTACAGCCAATACAAATACGTATTGTATTTTTGAGGCTAAAGAACAAATTGCCTTTCCAACCCAGCTAGCATGTCATTTATATTAATGATGAAGCATTTCTATTAATGATAAGTTTCTCTGTGTGTAAGTAAACTCTATTAAGAAAGTCAGGTCCCTTGGTGGAGCTAGATCCTTAGTAAATTTTACTAGCTAAGCACTGAGTTCCATGTCAGAATAATTACACCTTTTATCCACTGTGAGCTCTCTCTTAGCTTCTCCATATTCCTTAATTTCCCACTTCAGCTAATTTAGCAGTAAAATCACAAAGGTTTAAAAGGTTAGCTACCAAGGAACTGGCGCATGAATGTTCTGTTAAGCTCCGTGCATTGAAATCGCATTATGTAGAAGAAGGAATTAATTAAGTAACAATTAGGTAGTGATGGATCATTGACAACATATCTACACTTGGGTGCTAAAAATTAATCTCCCCTGTAAAAACAATACATTGTGCATCTTCTCATTTATACACGAGCTGGTTTTACACTTGAAATATAAAATGGAAAGGCCCTTCAGCAACTTATTTTTAAAAAAGAGGCATATCTTCTGGCACAATTAAAACTATAAAATATTTTTAAAATTCATACAGCTTAACTTTAGTAATTAATTGAAAAAGTAATGAGGATAGCAAAAGGAGAACAAATTTTTAAAGGCAGGAGATTTTAAAGTGACCGTAAGGACATTTGTAATATGAAAGTACTTAGTATGTTAAACTTGCTAACAATTGTATAGTATTCTCTTGCTATCTTCCTTTGCAAGTTGCCATATTATTTCCTTGTATTGACAGTCAGCCTCTTAATACACAGATTGGCAGTTAGCCCAGTCAGTCCTCAATTCTAAAAGCCTCTTAGCAGATGAAAAATCTTTGGTTCATTCACACCTTGTAGAAAGAACAACAGGGCAGAAGTGACATCCAGATCCATTTAGAGTATACTTTGAGTCTGATTCTCCTTTGCCTTGCACCTTGTGTAGTCATTTATAGCTTTGCAAAGTGAGCACAAAATGAATCTAAAACACTGCTGCTCATGTGAGGAGAGAATTCTGATTTGGTTGCATTATTTCCAGAGGTGATCACAAAAAGTGCCAGCCAGTTGAAAAATCTGGCTCTGCATAGAATGTGTAAACAATTTTGACACAAAATCTAAAGTAAAAAGCAGCAACCCTTTCCAAACATTTTACAGAAATTGTACTTCTGTTTTGCAGTAATGAATGCTTGAAATTTTTATAGAAAGAATACTAAATGCTTAACTCATCTACAGAAAACAAATCCTATTTCTTCCTTTCTTTTTAAGAAGCATATTTAATTATGAGTCCTAAAGTTCTCACTTAAATATTCTCACTTAAAAGGGAGCTCACATCATCTATAAGATCTCTACAAGTCTGAACTTTCCACATGCTGCTTCCAAAACCAGTACTTTAAAAGTTGCATTTCTACAAAACTACCTGGAATCAATGTGAAAAGCTGGTATTATCACAACAGCTGGTCTCAGTCCATCAGAGTTCAACACTGTTCTGACTTTAGTATGAGTGACAAATTATTGTCAGCATTTATCAATGATATCTCCGCTATATGATCTACTATCAGTATGATAACTCAAGATCTACTGCCAAAAATATCTTTAAGATGCAAACTATATCAGCAGGACAGGGCCGCTGATATTAGATTACTGAATGTGTTTTAACAAAATTGACATTAAAAAATGAAGACTTCAATCTGGCTGTTGCTGGAGAAATTATTTCTACTTCAGAACAGGATACAGTAACTAATTCAGTATGTCTGGACACTTTTTCCCCATACTATCTTGTGGACATTTTTCTGGCCCTTCACAGCCAGAAGTCTTTCCTAGTACACTTAAATACCATAATGGCAGGATAGTGCATGGCAACTGTGTGTTGATTAGGAGTAGAAACAGCAGTTACTGCATTAGCAGCTGTTGGTCTGAGAATATTGCTACAGTAAATAATGCCTCTCAGTGTTTCTACTGGATTTTTTTTCTTTTAATCATAGTCATGAATTTCATGGAGTCATCTTATGACACAGTTTCCAAATCTACTACCATGGTCCAAAGCTTACTTTTCAACCAAGTAGCTAAAGAACATTTTTTTTTTAATTCATAATATGTTACTAATACTATATTATAGGCTAGGATTTATTGCAGGGATTTGAATTTGTTTTTCTTCCTGTCTTTTTTTCCCTCTCCCCCTTCTACTTTCAGAGCTTCTGTAAGCATTCTGAGTTGCTAGTCTGGCTTGACTGGAAAGTACTGCATGTTTGTTGTGTGTCTGCATGTGTGATACCAACTGTTGAAGACTGCTTGATGTTAGATGAGGGCTTATGCTTAGAGCTGTTCTACAGTTGTCTCTCTGGCAAAATTTTTCCTCGCCAAAGACAATGATGCATCTGTGTGGGGAGAGTCTGTTTTACAATACTACACTTGCCATGGTCTTATTTTTACTGATGGGGCATGATGATGATTTAATTTATATCAATAAAATTCATGAGTCATTACATTCATGTCAATAGCATTAAAGAGCTATAGAGACAAGTAAGAGTTCAGAATCAGGCTTCTGGTGTTTAATCTAAAAGCATATCTGAATCACTTCATTAAAGACAGAAACTGAAGGATAGATCCTCTGCTTACTTTGCATTACTCAGTCATGCCATCAGCATTAAACATCAAATAAAGAGCTAAAATGATAGCTGGCAATGTGTCACAGCACATGGGGTTTCTGTTTACCTCAGATACAGAAAATACTCTTGAATTAACAAGATTTAATACTATATTCCAAGTATGACAAACTTATAGTATTAGATCTCCTTGCCCTTGAATGTTGGCATTAATGTTTAAAAAATGTTTTCCTTCCCTTGTTTATTTGTTTTGTTTTTAATGTCACTCTTACATAACTTGAATGAAAAAGATTTACATAGCTTGAATGCAAAAGATGTAAAGGCAAACTATATCTAAGTAAGACCTCAGACACAAGTTAAGTTTTATAGCCCTGTCCATAAAGAATATTATATCTGGTAAATACAGAAGCATAAAAGTAGTGATCACAAGACATAACATTTGTTTTGTAAATATCTTATATAGCCTTATAAAATCTCCTTTTTTTAAAAAAAAGTGAAATAATGTTAATTTTCTAAATTAACATTACAGACATTTTAAAACAATACAAGTTTTTATACTGCTGTCTGTCTCCTGCTCAGACAGAGAAATTGTGCAGGGCATGATGGGCATTAATTTAGTCCTCACTGATAAGTACTTTTAAAACTAAATATTCTTGAAATTGCACTTATTTAAATTACACTCAAGCTCCCTATAAATCTAAAAAAAGATTATAAGGAGGGGAAATAATTTGAAGAGGCCTAGCAAGTTAGCAAAAAATTGCTCTATTATATCTCTTCAGATTCTTTCCATTTATTAAGTAAAAAAAATTCTGGCATTTGAGAACATTTTCTAAAAATCTGTTTGATACATTATAGGCCCTAGAAACTATATACAGTCATATACACTTCCAGCTTCACCACAAGCATATGCCCAAAGATACCTAATCAGAGAACTGAGGGATTTATCAACAAACCAGGGCCAAAGCAAGCTCGGAAAAGGGATCTTTTGCTATATTTTCTGTATCTCTCACTGAAAACCAAAGATCTATCTGAACAACTTGTTTTTCCAGTATAGCCGGAATTGCAAAAAATATTTTTCTTCGGAACTCCCAGAGAAAGCTTTCTTTTCACCCTGTTAGACTACACATTGAGTTTTACACCCTACACTAACACAGCATAAGTTTCTGTATGTTGAAACAATAAGATACTGTCTTCAGGTTGGATACAAGTGTTAGTTAAGCCACTGGTGTCTTAGGAGAAAACCTTGATATACTATCAACTCTTAGTAACCACGGGAATTATACATTTTCCTTTGTTATCTTTTCCATTGTTGTATTTTTTGATAATATTGCTGTGTATTTCAGCATGCTCACTTGGGCACACAGATTAATTATGAGGCAATAAACTTTACATAAAAGTGCTGAAAAACAATTAAAAATCTCACTTGTTTTTCAACAAACCAAACTGAATAAGAAAGTGAAGTACAGAACAGAGAAGTCACCTACCGTGGTTGTCTTTATCCGTCCTCCTGGTTGTGTACAGGTCCAGCCTGATTTATTGATTAGCAAATCACAGCCTTCTCCTTCTAAACATGGAAGCATTTCACACCACTGTTTTGTTTTGATAATTCGTGCTATGAAACAGAAAAGAAGAAAAAACAAAACCAAAAACAATTGGCAGGAGAATTCACATTTTACTTATGTCTAAACACTTTCTCATTTGTTGTCTATTTTCATTATCCAATGATTCAGCAATAGTTTATGATGAAGACAGCCCTCCCTAAGCAGTTTACAAAATTATTTACAACACCTGCTGTGCGAACAAATTTAATTTCAAACTTAAAAACCAACAAAAAAAACAAAAGACAGCTTTTTTATAAATCAAAAGAATGCTCATTCCAATGAAGGAAACATTGTTGGTGAGGACTAATAATTGGAAACTTACTATCCTAACTAATAATTTTTGTGTCCCACAACTGTGATCCATTGTGTTAGACTCTCTACAAACCCAAGCAGACTGTCCGTATCCTGAAGTACTTACACTGTAAATAGACATGAGGCATGCAGGGGAAAGAGAAAAGCCATAATAAACAGAGGGGTCAGTTTAACGACAGCAATTGAGAAACTCTCTCATACTTGCAAAGGTAGGGGTATAGTCAAGGGCAGAACCTAGGAACATAGGAAGGACAGGTATTGAATGAAGCAAAGGCTGAGAAACCATGGCGAAGGAGACAATAAGCTGAGGGAAAAGACAGGACCAAACAGCCTTTTACTACAAGGGAAAAGAAGCCTAGTTAGGGAGGTTTCTAACGAAAGCTGGCGTGATATGTATTTCGTGTCTACTCTTAATGCTTGTGTCTCTGGCAAGCCAGTTCTGCAAAGTTTCTGCAAGGTCATACACAGCATGGAGTCTTGGAACAACAGAGCCCTGACTGCAATAAAGTAAAAACAAAGGAGTTGTAAGGGGAATGTTTTCCTCAAGGTAGGGAGAGAAGGGGCTTTAATACCGGTACACCTCTCTCTGGACTATAATACTACTTCTTTTGCGTTCACCTTTGTATTTTCTAGGTTCCTGCTCATAGAATAGCAAACAATATTACTAATTATCTCACTCTAATTATTTCACTCTTCACTGAAGACAGTATTGTACAGTGGAGTGCTTAGGATATTTTTTATAAAATACATATACAGAGAGACACAATATATAGCACTTGAACAATGTACGTGCAATATATTCATGCTAAACGAGGTAAGGTCTCCCAAACTAACTTTTGCTCAAGCTTTTGCTGTAAGGCTTGTAGTCTGCAGAAAATGGTCCTCAGTTGCTCCAGGGATCATCTCACCAGTTCTTGGCTGCACTATAGGAAAGATTCAGCACTTCAGTTTACACATAAGTGTCCGAGGATTCAAGGCCAGAACTTGTCCCACATAGAGAGACACAGATCGTGCCTTCCTCTATGTTGATGTGTGACACCAATACACATAACACACCTTCAATAATCATAAATAAGCCCAGCAAAAAGAGAACTACAGGAGAAGTACTTAGTAAAAGAAGACTACAAGAAGCTTATGCTGTACCAAATTCCTTTGGGGTCCAAGGAGACTTTATCCCAGTGAAAGATGCAGCTTTATGATCATGTGAACGTGTGATTCAGCCTGACATCTTCTGTCTGGAACTACTTAAGAATACAATTCCCAATGCCACTGGATCATGGCAAGAAATAGAAGTGGAATTTAAAGTATTTTACTAAAACTTCTTCCAATATTTTGACAAAGAACAACTTGTGTCCTCAGCTCTGGTATAATTGTTGGTACGCTCTAGTAATATAATAAAACCTGATTTCTTTCAGTGGAAGCTCAATCTGAAATTCATATTATTTTAATTATAAAACCTTTTTAGCACCTAAATGTCTACATCAGAATTTGCACTGTTCATTAGGGAATATATAAATCTATGGTGAAATGATTAATAACTAAATTTTTTTTGAGGCAACTCTTCTAGGATTTTTAGCACACAATACACAAAAATATGGATTCTGCTTGGGCGCCAGAGGTACTGCTCTACTGGTAACTGGATCATATCAGTTTTTGAGACTAACCTCTCCTTTGTAGCAGATAACAGCCTCATCCTTTAAGTGAAGGTCTGCATCCAGTTACAGGCTTAACAGAAAATGTTCAGGAAAATGCTAACACCAAATCTGACCTACTTGCATGCATATCTTTCTTAATTCACATATCAAAATGGCTGTTTCTATAAATGTTTCAACAATATGAGGAATCACTGAGAGACTGAATAGTAAACTAAACTCAGAAATATCCACTAGATTGCCTTTACTATCTCAGCTAGGAGGTTTTCCTGGAAACATGACTTGAAGTAATCTCATTAAAAAAAAGTATCACTGAATTACTCTTAGTGTTTGCTTGGTTGCTGTTGCTACTATCACAAATCCTTGGGGTCATTGCTCTGGATACTGGCTATATCCACACAAATTTAAAACACACCAAGGGTATTTTACAAAACATAAATTCTGAAACATTTCTATGCTGTGTATAGATCAGCATTTAAGCTTGAGAATCAGAACTCCTTTTGTAAGGAAAAGCTAGGCAGCTCACCTGATTTAAAGCTAATCAGTATCAAAACTGTGCCTTCTCAGCCCCACACCCCCTTCCAATCCTGCTTCCTGCTGAGATCTCTTCCCCATTACTGGTTTTACATCCCTTTAATTCTGCTTCTCCGCCCACTCATTGCTTTGCTTCAGGAGCCTCACCAACACACAGACCCTCACACACAGTGCCACGAGGGAGGCCTGTTCCTGTCTGCAGGACTACATCTATTTTTGCATTTTCACTTTTCAGTTTGCACATTATATCACAGTATGAGAGTGAAGCTCAATGTGTAATATAGGAAGGGAGCAAAATGTACAACAGTTTTTATCAGCATAATATCAAAGAATTTTCATCAGTAATTGAAACTGAGTTATACTAGTCAAAGCAAAGGAATATAGCGTATTTCCTGAGGCAGTGTAGTTGCCTTTTTTCTGTGTATATTCACCAGGGGTGTAATTCAGCCCTCTGCAGACAAAAGAGCAAAAAGCCTATCAGCTTCTTCAAATCCACTCTGAGCTCCATTATAAAGAATTAAATGATACACAGGCTTTGTGCAGAGCTTCTGCAAAGAACTGAATTCAGCTTTAGAATCTGTGCTGACACTACCTTGCATCTCCTAAGAAGGGCCGTGCTTCTTCACTCAAACTGGAGTTAATAGGAACTGACATTGCTCAGCACATGGTAGAATTGCTTTTCTGGGTAGTGCCATTTGAACTGGAGAACAAATGGACTCTATCCAAGGGGTTTTCAGGCAAATAGTTTTGAGGCATTGGATGCAAGTAGATGTTGTATCAACATCACAACAAAATACCCACCAATGTGATCTTAACTGTTTTGTAAGACAGAGAAATTTGCAATCAATTTCCAGTTATTTGTTGAAAAAGTCTCCATTCATGATCAGTATAGTCTAATTTAAGACTGCTCAACTGAGTAGTGTTTCAGAACATCACAGATTGTTTTCTGCTAAATAATGACACTAGATAGGCTTTGTCAATAATCCTCTCACCTGGTTTAATATTATATTATTATAATATTAATATGGAAAATAATGGTTTAATTTCTAGACATTCTTTTTCCAGATTCAACCCACACTCAGGGAATTATCAGTGTCTGCATCTCTAGTCAATCTTTTAACTGAAAATCATCAACTCTTTGTGATAGCAAAAAACTAAGATAAGTCTTGTTCAGCAGCAGTAAATACAAAAACTTAGAATCATCTAAAATATGGTAAATTAAACTGCTCAGATTCTTGCAGTTTGTTGTCTCTTTTTTTTTTTTTAATGGAGAATGAATTGGGGAACTAAAAGTAAAAATGCACTTTATTTTCACTAAATAAGAATATTGATTGAAGCAGCATTTGGATACTGACACTTATGATTTCAGAATACATTATACTTTTATGCATAAAAGGTGGTGTGCAAAATGAATATTCATTTTTTTATACATCTATAAAATGCAATCAAACCCATGATGCATTAGCCTGAATAATGTAAGAAAAAGTAGCAGAGAAGATACATTGAAGTAGGGACAAGGGACAATTTTTTCCAAGCAGAACACAACATTTTGAAACATACATCTTAAATGAGAACTTATCTCAACTATACTTTTTCCAAAATGATGTTGTTTTTCACATTATTTTTTAATGGTAATTTTTAGCACTTAATACAAGCTGTAACATATACATTGGAGAAAATATTTCCTCTTTGACTTTCATATATTATTTCACTGTGGTTTTCCTTGAACTTTGAAGAAAGCTGATCAGCATAGCACATTCCCAAGGTTTAGAAACGCCTTTGGCTTCACCTCTATAGAAGTACATAGACAAACACATTCATCTCAGTGTATTTTGCTTGCCCTATTAACACTTAATAGGACCACATTTTTTATAATTATTCACCTTCAAATGATCCCTGGTTTCATAATCCCACTCATCTACTAGCCTTTTTTAAATTTTATCTGATATTTTTCCTTTTTCCATTTTTTCAACCCTAGCTTTTTGCTTTGACCATTTCTATCCTTTGCCTGATTCAGTACATATACACTATCTATGTAGCAAAGATCCCTAAACATCTTTCAGAACTTCTTATGTCTAGCTAGTTTTATCTATGACTGGTAAATTCTTCTCACTGTCCCCAATGTGAACAGAGGTTAATCATCTTTACCATGGTCACACAAGAATTTGTTGCACCGGTGGAAACAAAACCTCTGAATTCTTAGTGATCACTAGACCGGAGATCTTTCTGTGTCCCTCCTTCTTCACAGAGAGAGTGTATTTTAATATGTATACATAAAAAAATTAAACAACAACAAAAATATGCAAAGTAAATGCCTTCAAAAACATATCAGTTAAATTGCAGCAACAGGAAAAAGGCCATCTGAAAGACAAACTGAATCAAACCACTCTAAGATACTGCAATCATGAACTGTCTTTAGAGCAGCAATTTGACTGTAATAGTGTAAAAGCCCCAAATGTCAATCTATTTTACAACAACGAAACATCACAAAGCTTGGCTACATTTTACAGCAG